CCCCTACTGACCTGCAGCAGCAGGAAGAGACTCAAAGCTGGGACCCCAGAGCCCACCATGTCGCCTCCCAGACCCCTGGGACCTCTATGGGCAGAAACCTCCAAGTCCATTGCCACAGCAACCAGCTCAGCCCCGCCCACCTGCCCGCCCAGCCCCAGATTCTAAGTTCTGTTGCCAGGGAGTCCCCTTAGCCATATGGAAGAGGGAAGGGGGTCACACTGGCCTGGTCATGCCTGGTTGCTAAGGAGTTGCTTTCTTAGCAACTAGGTGGAAGGGGCCCCAGGTGGTGGGGTGGGTGCCTAGTGTTAGAAGGACCTCTTTAGCGACCTAGGTGGAAAGTTGGGGGGTCCAAGGTCTCTCCTTACCAAGTAAGGGACCTGAAGGGTGGGCACAGAATCCTCATCAGAGACTCCCTCTTTTCATCACCCAAGGCCCAGGAGCAGCTCCAGGGAGCCCAAAGTTTCCTGAGACTTCATTGCTAGGGATCTTCTCCCTAGCAACCAGGGGCAGGGGGATCTGAAGCTCCAAAGGCCTCACTGAACCCCATTGTTAGGGAGGCCTACATAGCAACCAGGGGACCTAGGAGGTTGAGGAGTAAATGGGGGTCGGGCACTTGTCAGGAGTCCCCTGGTCTCAACGCACTCCAAACCTCTGATAGGGAATGTGTAACAGGAGCAGCTTGGCCATGCCTGGCACAGATCTGAAGGCTGGGGGTAAGGATGACTCATAGGCAGGGAGACCCTTCACCTGCCTAGGCCTCAGCTTCCCCACCCAAAAACAGGGAAAGGAGTCCAGCTGGAGGTCTCTAAACTCCTGATTTGTTCTGCCCAGTGGAGCAGGCAGAGGCTGACTTGGGACTGAGTTGAGCCCTACTCCCCGGTTCACCTCGTATGAACCCCTACTCGGCTTTTCAACACAGTGTGGAAGGGGCTCAGCTCTCCTGGGGCAGCGAGTCTGCCCAAGCTCTTGAGTCTGAGGGCAAAGGGAGCTGGGAGCTTGGACACCTGGACTAGAGGGAATGGGGAAGTTGGGGGGTCTGGTCTCCTGTGCCTGAGGGAAGAGGGATCTGAAGGCAACCGTCCAGGAGTCTGGGCCCCATTTCTCAGGAAGCGCCATGAGGTTGACTGCATCCTGCCCTCTCCTGTAAACATCCTGGTGGGAGCTGAGTGGGCCCTGGGCTGCCTCCGTCAGAGATGACACAGGTCAGAGTGGGCTTGGCAGG